ACAGGCTGAGGGTTTTGGCACTCGGCGTAGGCATCGTAAATCTTCTGTGGTCGTTCAGCCCCCAGCAGCAAGTGTTTGTGCAATGTTCGCCTCGTCGCACCACCTCGGTGAGAATGGCCGCTGTTGCACACGATGTAAGGGGTCGACCGCACTCGCATGTAAGAACGAGTGGCTGAGCTCACCGTGTTTTGATCTAATTAGTGTGGACGGCGTCATTAGTAGACCTCCTCCTGGGCAAAGGGTGCACATTATGGGGGGGTACGCTCATGGGTCTCACACTCTTCGGTATCACACGGGGCTGAGGTTCTGGTTCTGTTTCGTTTGCGGGAGTTTTGCGGCTGAACAGCTGACACAGCTTGGCAAGGAATGCAGTACACGCCTCGACGGTAATCGAATCGATTATCGTAAGCGTATTCTCCAGGGTCTGTGGCCTAAGGTCTACAGCAAGAGGGAACAGGCCAGAAGAGCCAGGAAGCAGCGGGCTTAATCTGCTTCCACTCGTAACCGACACAGTCGCCATACCCGTAACTCCGTAACTCCTCCTCCTCCTCCTCCTCCTCCTCCTCCTCCTCCTCCTCCTCCTCCTCCTCCTCCTCCCCCTCCTCCTCTCCCCTCCTCCTCCTCCTCCTCCTCCTCCTCCTCCTCCTCCTCCTCCTCCTCCTCCTCCTCTCTCCTTCTCCTCCTCCTCCTCCTCCTCCTCCTCCTCCTCCTCCTCCTCCTCCTCCTCGCTCCTCGAACCCCAGAGGTCTGGACCCATTCCCCGGGACCGGTTTTTCTTACGGAATCCTTTTTTAAGGGTCCCGGGGCCCCGTGTAGGGGCCCTCCGAGACCGACGTTTTTTTTCCATTACTCGAGGGGGTCTTGGGACTCAGGGTGCACTCGTGCCCTTCCACCGCCAGTCCTTCCCCAAAGGCTCCGCAGTCCGACACAGGTTGCGAGTGCGGCAGCGGCCCTGCGCCGAGAACACATGCCCTGCGAACACACAAAAGGACGGGCCAATTCTCTTGCTGGCGGCGACGTGGGACTCGAGGCGTCGGACAGCGACAGCCGGGACGCAGCAGAGCCGATTGCGCCCGAGGACAAGAAACACTGCTAGAGGCCTCCACGATGGGGTCGGAGCAGATGGGGTGGGAGGATCGCGCCACATCGGCGATACATCGGCGATGCATCGGCGATGCATCGCCGACGTCGGGGATGCATCGGCGACGTCGACGTGGAGCAAAGCGAGCCCCGCATCGAGCCGCATCGGCGATGCATCGGCGATGCGGCGCGATCCTCCGTCCCTTCCACTCCGACCCCATCTCGGGGGCCTAGAATTGCGCACCGAGGGCGAGAGACACCGCGAACAACGTACGCCTTCGGAGGTCCCCGCGGAGCCCGCCGGGGGCTGCGCCCGAGGCACCGCACAGGGGAGTGAGGAGGGGGCTGCCTGCCTACCCAAGAGGTCCGTGCGTCCCTCCGAAGGGTTGTGCTCGAACCGCCTGCTGCTCCTCGATTCCAGGAGGAGCGAAGTAGGACGGAGAGACACGGAGGAGGTAACCAGGAGGAGCTAAGCAAGAGGAGCTGACCAGGAGGAGCTCACCGGGAAGAGCTAACCAGGAGGCGCTAAACAAGAGGAGCTAAGCAAGAGGAGATAATCGGGATGAGCTAAGCAAGAGAAAGACGCCTCCCACACCCTCCTTTTGTCAAAACATGTTCCTTGGTTATAGGAGCACATTTAAACATACTAAGGGAATCCTCCAGCTATTCTTCGGCAAAGCCGCGATCCCTGCTGGAGGATTGCCTTGTTTTCGCGATTTCCCCTTTGCGTGTGTCGGCGCGCGCACAATACACAGCGCCCTGCTCGCCAGACGAAGGGAACGCCTTTTCAACACCGCGTAAGCTATGGCCGCATTCATGTCGCTACAAGAGAAGCCCGACACACACACACACACACACATTCAACGGCTTCGCGTTCGCGCAAGAGCGAACCGACCCTGCTGCGCACTCAGCCGACTCCACGCGGTTCGTTGCCACTAGGGTCACCTCGAGGACAAGCGACAGAAACAGTATGTGCTCTGAGGGCACCCGAAGGGAGCCACCAGAAAACACTCGATTCAAACATGTGGACGGCCCAGAGGCAACCGCTCATCGCAACGCGTGCAGATGGCAAACGAAAAGCGCCGCATAGTCCTTGCAACGATCGGTCGATCGATGAATCTTCCGATTGACCAGTCCTCCTCCCCCACGTCCTCCTCCCCAATGTGCAAATGTCTGTCAATTAAAACAAGGGCGGGTGCGCGGGTGTTTTCCCGTCTTGAAGCTGCGCAACGCATGTGTGACGCATCACATGTTTGATGCTCGCGCGCGCATTGACAGCCAGTCCCCAGCGGGATCGGGCACGCAGAATGAGGCCGCGACGCTTCCGTGGCGCAGAACGACATGCGCTCGGCAACATAGAGGCACGCTGTTCAGCCCACTAGGGCACCGCATCAACAGTGCACCTCGCGCGTTTGGCAACCCTGACGCAAGGCATCTGAAACGCTAGCGAACCCAGCGGCATCATATGCCGCAGCGGCGCCTTTTCGGGGGAAGGGGGGGATGGGGGGGGGCGTTGTACGAGATGTTCGCGTTTTCGAAGGAAGGCCACGGGGACCACCTAAAGGTAACGCTTTCCGGAAAACACGCGGGGGCATCTCCTGGAATCTATGGAACTGTAGAAGATGGCAACGCGCTGCGTCCTGGGGTGTTTTGATGACCCGCAAAAGGTCGGTGAGCGCCTCCTGCTTCGGAGTCTGTTTGGGTAAAGGTGGAATACGTTTGAAATATTGAAAGCGCGTGAAATCTGAGGGGTATTTGTGGGATATTTTCAAATACTGGAAACCAGCGAAGATTATTTTGCAAATATTTTAAACCTGCGAGATGTATTGCTGAAGTATGTCGCGCGCAGTGCGCTTGAAATCCTCCAGTGGAATATTTTGCGCGGGGGGCAAGCGCGCGACGTCTCGCGCTGAAGTCTTATGTTAGCTCACGGGGTACGTCGGACACTCGCTCCGGGCATCCGAGGTGCCACTGCTGCGCCGGCGACAACGCTTGTCTGTGCTCTGAATGCCCCGACGGCGCTGGCGACGATTTGGGGCGCGCCGCAGGCTCCTGGTCCAGCTTTGCTACGCGCGCGCTGGGCCCGCCCATCTGCGCACGTGAATAGATGTACACAGACGTGCGCGCGTACGCAAGTAGGCATCTTGCTCTGCCCTGGTTGAATGCGCCCTATACCCGGCTCCGCGCGACCCGCGCGACCACCTTGCCGACCCAATGGATCGAGAACAATTCTGGTGCGCTTGTGAATGTATATTCGCATGTGCACATGTTGCCCTACTCGTACTTTGCCGCATCACTCGCCGAATTGTGCCCCTAGGTACTCTACCTCACTACAACGGCATATGCAAGCCTCCTCTTCTCTTCTTATATACGCACTGGTGATTGTCTGAATGACATGTCTACGCCGACTCCAGTTCTGCCCTACTCGGAACCGGCTCTCACCTTCTCCTGCGCCAAATTGCAGTTATCCTGACATACGGACGACCCCGAGTCCACTCCTGCAGCGTTTCATCGCAATTCCGTCTCTAATCGTATCTGATCGATGATGGCATCAAAGAGGTTACGCCTTGCCCGGTCAGAACTGTCCCTCGCGCATCATACCTCGCGTGATTGCCGAAAGGAACCCAGTGACCGAACGTGGGCAGCGCCAGTTTATACGCGCCACCCTTACTGATAGGGAGCAGGGTGGGGAGGATGCACAGAGGATGGCGCGCATGAGCGATGGGATGAAAATGGGGGAAGACTGGAATTTTGCTGCGAGAACTTCAATGCCAGCGGGCACAGAAACTGATCGGGCGGATTTTTGTGGATGTGCGTAACACATGGAAAACACAGGTATCCAAATCTGCAGGGCCACTGTCGGCTGCTCAGAGGGTGCTCGTCGAATTGCTCATGCTACGCGCAAATCTGATCGCAGCATCACGCCATCCAGTCCACAATGGTAGCGCGCGGTCGACCCTCATGGTGCACATTGCACAAACCACATCGCCATAGACGCACGCCTTGGCAAAAACGCGATGGCGCGCGCTGCCGCCACCAAGTGCGGCGAAACAAATAAAGGTGGCGCCGCGCGGCGCATCGAGTTTTCCAACCGCGTGCATCGTGCGTCCGCCGAGCCAATATCCTGCAAACAATTTCTATACGATCTTTCGAATACTTTGAGCATTCAATGGAAAATCGCCACAAAACTATTTCCCACGGTTTTTCAATATTCATCCTGTAGAGGGACATGCCCGACTGAACCTTAGGCAGGAAGGTGGAGGACCGCGGAGGGGCCGAACCCAAGCGAGCCGGCCAGTTCTGGGGGGGATCCGTGCGTGCACGCACCAAGGGGGTCTGGACCCCCGCGGATTTTCGGGTCGTACTCCGAGCCTCCGGCGGCCATTCGAGGCGAGCCGGGCACCTCCAGAACGCTCTCGAGAAGGCGAAGCTGCTGGAGCACATCCAGGGGTAAAGAAACCTCCAGGAGCCAACCATGACGTCCGACAGCGATAACGTACTACAGTCGACCGAAGCCCTCAAGATTGCTCTGGGAGGCGCTGGGATATCGAGTTCCTGGGCGACTGGTAACTACAGGAACAACCAGCTGCATAAGCATGACTTTTCGGATCCCCTCGCGGATGTCTTGGATCGGCGCTGGGCCCCCCTCCCTGGCGTGCTCCGCACTCCAGGGGCGGCGCCGGAGGCGCCGCCGGCGCAGATGCAAGGAATCCGCACGGAGCTCGGAAGGAGCAAATGCCGCTGCTCCCTGGACCTGTCCAGGGGTGCGCTCTGCCCAGGGATTCGAGGCGATCCCAGCCGTGGCGGCGAGGGAGGGCAGCGGTAGCGGTGCCTGCTCAACCTCTGAGCTCGTGCCGTCCTGCAGGACCCGAGCTCTTGCGCGCGCGCAGTGGTCCCAGGCAGAGAGCAGCGCCGCGCACCGCATCCAGGAGTCCGCGCCGGGGCCCCACGTCCGCGCGGCGGTGAACAGCTTGGCTATCTTCCTCGCGGGCGGCACCTCCTCCTCCCGCTGACCCAGAAGTGCTCGCGTCGTGAGGAGAGCACGGCGGGAGGTCTGGGCCCTGGGACCGTCAATGGATGCAAAACCGCCTCGGGGGAAGGGGTCGGGCATGCCTTATTGAGACAATCAGGAGACCGCACGTTTGAGATTGCCGCTTCGCCTTGCCATCACAGGTCAATCTGGCTCGAAAAACTGAAGCACAAAGATGAGAGTATAGGGGACAGGTTGTGATTTTCGAACGGTGTCGCAATTTTTCGCAACGTCGGATCTCAGAGCACCCTCCCTGCGTTCGTCCTTCTTCCCCTCGATATCACCCCTCGATACCACTCCCCTTCGGTGACCAGAGTTAGTCAGCGAGCTGCGTGGCGGCAGCGGCTAACTCCCTATACGGACTATCTTTCTTATTTGGTCTTGACCACACGCGTACCCAATATGCTGTGCCCTCCTTATCCTGCTCCTGCTCCTGCCCATTGCTCATAATGATCATCATCATCATCATCATCATCATCATCATCATCATCATCACCATCGCCAGCATCATCATCACCAGAATCATCAACAGCATCATCATAATCAATATCATCGTCATCCTCATCATCCTCGTCCTCATCATCATCATCACCACCCACCATAATCACCATCACCATCATCATGCTAATAATCCGAATCATCATCATCAGTATCATCTTCATTATCTTTATCATCGCCATCATCACAATTATCATCGTCATCATCACCCTCTTCTCATCCTTTTCATCATCAACATCATCATCATCCTCATTATCATTATGATCCTCCTCATCATCAGCAGCATGACCATCCTCATCATCCTCATTGACAATATCATCACCATCATCATCCTTATCGTCATCTTCCTCATGATCGCCATCACCACCATCATCAGCATCATCGTCATCGTCTTCCTCATCAGCATCGGCACATCATCGTCATCATGCTCGCCCTCATCCGCATCCTCATCCTCATCGTCATCACCGTCATCATAAACATAAGCATCGCCATCATCAGCGACATCAGCATCGTCAGCATCACCACCATGATCATCATCCTCATTATCATCCTCTTTATCACCATCACTACCATTTCCAGCAGTCTCATCATTACCAACATCTTCAGCACCACCACCATCATTACCATCATCAGCATCCGAATCATGGCCAAGAACATTATCATCATTACCATATTTATGATCATAGTCATCATGATTATCAAAATCATCGTCATCATCATCAGCATCACAACCATATCATCATCACCATCAGCATCATCACCATCATCATCAGCAACACCATCACCAGCATCACCATCACCAGCATCACCATGATTATCATCATCATCATCATCAGCATCATCAGCATCATCATCGTCATCCCTTCGCTCCTGGGATGGACTTCTGAAGCCGATCTACAAAGAGCATCGGCCTGGCGACACGATGGAACTCAAACCGTTTCCAACGCTGGGAAGAGGGGGCATTGTCTTGCCACGTCTCCTCACCCTGCCCCGAGTCCTCTTCCTCGTCCGCCTCCTCCTCCTCCTCCTCCTCTTTCTCGTCCTCCTCCCCATCCCCATTCTTGCAGTTCTGGTCCTTCTTCTCCTCCTTCCCCTGCTCCTCCTTTACGTGGCTCGACCAGCGGGGCTGCTACAGCGCCTGATCCGACAGCGAAGGACCAGAGGATGCTGCCCCCCCTCCGCATCTGCAGATGTATGGCCACGCGCCCCAAATCCTCGCCATCCTGTTCTTGTTCGCTGCTGCTACGCACCCTTCCTCGAGGATGACAAAGAGTCCTCCTTGTCCTCGTCCTCGCCCTCCTCTGCCCCGAGAGCTGTGGGGCATCTCTGACGGCGACATTTGCCAAGCGATCCTATGGTGACACCCTGGAAGTCAAATCGTCGCAGGCCCAGGGGGCGTTGCCTTCTCTGGCTCTTATGGCTTCTGTCCCTCTTTCTCGTATTCTTCCTCGTCCGCCTCCTCCTCCTCCTCGCCCGCCTCCTCCTCGTCCTAATCCGCGGAGGTGGTCCGGCCCATCTGCCGCCGGATCGCAGAGGACGGCCCATCTGCCGCCGCATCGCAGTGGCCACAGGAACTCGCTCCCAGTCCTCTCCGTGCCCCGGTTAGTATTCCGACGCCGACCGCGGCATACTGCTGCAGCGACGATACATGCTGCTGCGAGCCCGAGGTCGGCTGGCTCAGCGGCGAGGCCCCAACCAGCCGCACGACATGCGCAGGAAGAGAAGATCCCCCCCATCCTCCTCCTGGTTGTCCTCCGCCTCCTCCAACTCCTCCTCCTCCTCCTCTTCCTCCTCCTCCTTGTCATCCTCCTCCCCCTCGTCCTCCTCATCCCTCACCTCCTCCTCCTCCTCCTCCTCCTCCTTCTCCTCCTTTTCCTGCTCGCTCCTCCTCCTCGCCTCCTCCTCCTCCTCCTCCTCCGCCTCCTCCTCCTCCTCCTCCTCCTCCTCCTCTCCTCCTCCTCCTCCATCCTCTCTCCTCCTCCTCCTGCTCATCATCATCATCATCATCATCATCATCATCATCATCATCCATCATCCTCATCCTCATCCTCATCCTCATCCTCATCCTCATCCTCATCATCATCATCATCATCATCATCATCATCATCATCATCATCATCATCATCAGCATCATCATCATCCTTCTCTTCCTCGTTATCCTCCTTTTTCTGCTCGTCCTCCCCCTCCTCCTTTCCTCCGCCTCCTCCTCCTCATCCTCCTCCTAACGCTGCGGGCCACGCGCGGTCTGTCCGCGAAGCCCCGCGGCGGCCGCGCGGCCGCGCGCGGACGCCACGAGCTACGTGCTCGGACGCGTGCCACGCACGCACCACCGACGAGCACCGAACGCGAACACGCCGAGCATCGAGGCGCACAGGACCGACGAGCGAACGGCGACAGCCGGCGGAGAGACGAGGAAGCCTCCGGGGCACCAGAGAGGAGAAAAGGGAAGGGACGAGGCCAGCGAAACGGAAGCCGAAGCGCCGAGGCCAGGCCAGGGGAAGAGGGGAGGACGCCGCCTCCTGGGCCTCCTCCTCCTCCTGCTCCACCTCCTCCTCCTCCTCCTCCTCCTCTTCCTCCTCCTCCTCCTCCACCTCCTCCTCCTCCTCCAGGAGGCCGAAGCCTCCTGGGCCTCTGAACAGGGGGGTGGGAAGGCCTCCGATGGCCTCGGGCTGCGCCCGTCGGGCCCCCTACTCAAAAAGGGTGCACGTCTCCTCTTCCCCCCCTCCGCGGCCGCCGTCACCCCCCAGCCCTTTTGCCGAGGGGTAGGCGCGCTCACCGCCAAGGGGGGGCCTGCATGATGGCGGAGAGCTCCGCGAGCGAGGTGCTGCCGAGCGACTTGATGCCGCGAGCAAAACGAGGCGACGTGAGCCCAACGGTCCACACGCAGCCCCCGTTCGCACTATGGGGCCGCGGCCCTCATCCTCAGCCCCAGACAGCCCTCCAAAGGGGATGCTGGCTCCGAGGGGAGACGCCGCGGCTCCCCGATGTGCTGTGGTTCACTCTCGTCACCTGACTATCCTCCGAAAGGGATGCAGGCTCCAAGCTGTGTTCCAGATGGCGTCCAAGGAAGCGACTGTTTGCGTGCTTCCCGATGGGTCTTGCGTTCTGTCATTTGCGAGTCCATGATGCTGCGTCACGGCGTCCCCCACCCTTCGGCGCTGTGCGCTGTGGGGGCCGCTCGTGGGCTCGTCTGCTCGCTCTCCACGTGGTAGCGGTCGTGATATGTAACGTACTCGTTGAGGCCGCCAATATCCGTCCCGTCTGTGTGGCCACTTCCGCGTGCTGCCGCCAGGATACGTATTGTGTCGTCGTCACCGTCGCTGGTGTTAAGGAAGTGCTTGCTTGTTATGACTGGGCCGGTCCTGGTGACGAAGTTGTGTCGCTCCAGATGTTGTAGTTCACGTGGGACGGTTGTCGTCATAGGTCCGATGTTTATCAGGCAAGCCGTGTCGTTGGCGATGCACGTGCGCATGAGGGGTATGGCGTCTCGCACCTTAGCGTTATCTTCCGTGATAGTCGCATAGTCGTGCCTACTGGCATCTCTTCTACCCCACCGGTGTTGCTCGTCCCGGGTTGATTGCTGTTGCCTGTGCTCAGAGTGGACTTCCTGTAATAGGTGGCGTCGATTGAGCATTCAATATAGCTTCGCGGATAGCGTTGTTAATGTGGTCGACATTTCTGTCGCTGTGCTTCTGGCTCGTGTGGCTGGCTACGGTGTGTATGCGTATTCGCCGGCGTTGTAGCGCCGCTTGCTGATCGATGCCGTTGACGATGCGCGTAGTATTGTTACTGGTGGCGTTCTGGTCGGTGACGAGCAGGATCGTAGTCTGGTGTGTCCCGTCGTTGCATAGCCCTGCCGTCTCTCCGTCGGTTGTATCGACTCGCGTGTGTTGTAGTCGTCGATCGCCTAGTAGGGCGTCTTCCCTCTGTCCTCGTCGCACATCTTGCCCTTCGTCTGCTTGCGATGACAGAGGACCTGGTGCAGGAATCATCGAGGTGCATTCGTGCTTTGCGTCTGTGCGTCGTGCGAGTGATGGCCCATGGAGTTGGACGCGAGGGCGTTCTGAGTAATCTTCGGGTAGTCTTTTGTTTTTGCTGGTCCGCCGTATGTGCCTTAGCTCCTCGGATACGACGTTGGCTGCGTCGTCGAGCCGCTCGTTGAACTTCATGGCGAGTGATGCACAATGTCTGCTGGCGCACATGTGCTTGTACAATCGGTTGGTCGTCCAGTACTCCCTCACACAGAACTGGCAAGTAGTCCCGTGGATGTAGTTGATTATATTTCCCTGCTGGCTGTGCTTCGCGCGCATGAGCTTGTGGCACGCTGCCTTGTCGTTCAGGATTTGCCCGCATTCGTAGCACATGTACTGCAATTGTGTTGAGTGGCTTCGCTGTCAGGCGTCGGGGTGGTGGTGCCGTCGCACATGCCGTTGGTGCGTCTTCTCCAGGCAACTGTGGCTGCTCTTTCTTTGTTGAGCTCGACGGCTGCCTTGTAGGAATGTGTGATTATACTTTTGTATGTGAATGGTTCTTCTTGTGCCATGTCTATCCATTGGCGTATGTCGTCGTGGTCGGGCGTGCTGTGGCGCTTGCTGGTGTACGTTTTGCTGTGGTGGAGGTCGCCAGCAATCGTAGTAGACCATCTGCCGTTGTTCTCGATGTCGTAGTCGAGCAGGCCTCTTAGTTCAGTCGGGCAGGCGGCAGATAACCGTATACTATCTCGCAACCTTGCTTGCCGTAGTCTTTGTGGGAGCGCCGCGATGCCTGCCCAGCTGCTATGTCTCGATGTTGGTGATCTTCGCACGCTGCGTTGTCTGATGACCAATGCCCAATGCCATCCTCGCAACTGCTGTGTATGCAGTGGCGGTCCAGTCCGTGCCCGTCCTTTTAGCAGGCATCCAGGTTCCTGCGTTGTATAGTAGTCGTGGGTAGCCAAGGGCAATGAGATAATGTATCTTGGCGGTGTTGGTGGTCTTGTCGCGCTTGAACACCGTCCTTCGGAATGGTGTGGTAGCCCCCTTTTAGAGCAAGTCCACGTGCTGCAGCTTCCCGGGTGAAGTCGTTCCGATCATTCACCATTGCGCACAGGACTTTGAGCGTTCGCGTGATAGTGACTGTCACCCCCACGTCCGTGTACTTACTGCTTCTGGTCCATATGCATGTGTCTCGCAATGATTGTTCCATCCTTGTTGCTGGCGAAGATGAGGAAGTTGGACTTGGTAATGTTGATCGTATCCCCCACATGGTTTTGACTGTAGTCTCGATCGCATTGCCGTCGGTGACCGTTGCCATAGCTTTCACGTCGTCGACGAATGATGTTGTCGTCATGTGCTGGTTTTCAGGATTGGTGCAGGAAACAGGTGAGCTGCCTGGTATCCCTACTGCGGCGTCCGCTTTGATGGCCTCTTCATGATAGACTTTCGTAGCTGCAGACATCTTTGCGTTGAATGTGAAGTCGGGTATTAGTACACCTGGTCATGTTCCTGGCCATGGTGCTGCGTATTCTGAGTCGCGCTCTGTGAAGAACCACGTGTTGCGGCGGGCTTCGGTCAGCATCGGGAGCATTGTTGACTATGTGGGCGCTGACGATGCCGTCGTTGTTCGCGAGGGTCTATATAGCCGGCTGCATGCATTGAGGGATGCCCATGTGTCATATCAGGTCGTCAGTGTCGCCAGTGCTCATCTGCACATCGCATGCCAAGTGCGTGGCGTCATTGTGAGAAGCAGATCTCAGATCGATCATGACCACGATGAGTTTGGTTCCTTCCTCGGCTGGCAGGTTGAAGGTCAGTCGCATTATGAAGTGGTTGTAGTCCGTGCTGTAGTGGTTTTGACTTCCCATCTGAGTGCTGAAGAATCGCCCAGGTAAAAAGTCCTTCATGCACTGTCGTATGTACATGTAGTGGTGGTTGATGATGGTGTTGGCGAGCGATATCGACCGGTGGTTTTGTAGCGTCGCTTCGGTTCCTTCTCCCTTCCAGAAATGTCTTTCGCGAACCTTGGTGTGTCACTGCTTCTCGGAAGAGCAGTGCAGTCTCTGAAATTAGCGGGTGCATGTGGCGTGCCATCTCTCGCGGTGCCGCGTGCGCAAGGTCGTCGGCAACTTCGTCGGGCCCTGCAGCTCGTCCGAGTTTGCACCGAGCCAATTGTTCAAGCTCGTAGATGCTGGCGAAATTGTCGATGCTTCGGACCGCGTTGTTGTCGCTGATGTCGTCCGTGTTGTTGGATTGCTCTGATATGTCGGTTTTTGTCCTGCAAGGCTGCAGCTTTTATGCCGCCGAAGTGGTGGACGGCCTCGTTGTGCTTAGCCGCCGCGCCTGCAATAAGCTCGCCGTTGCTGTCCACCACTATAGGGAATGTCCGTGTCTTGCGGCGCTTGCGCCCGCCAAATAATGGATGCTTACGTACTCATTTCCATTCATTGTATGGCTCGTTGTTGTGCCTCCCTTATGCTGCTCGCGTGGCTTGCTGGTCGCGGAACTCCCCGTAGTCGTCGTTGACCATTCGTGATGCTGTCTTCGGAATATCATTGTACCAATCTCGCGAAGCGAGGGATAATCCGCTGCAGTTGCTGACGTTAGCTCGCCGTGCTTCGATAGCGAGTCGCATGAGTCCATTGCAGTGCTGGTCGAGGTACGTTGTCGGTAAGCTTCTTGCCCGGTGTTCAATTGTGTAAGCTATCTCTTTGGTGGTTCTTCTGGCAACTAGAGAAATGCTTTCGTCCGCGCTGCGCCGCCTCCCGCAAGAGCTTTGCGAGTCGTCGTCGGTCGATGATAAATTCGAAGGTCTGGTCGGACATGTACTCCTGCATCTTCTTGTAGTTGGTCAACCTTGGTTCGCCTTTTTTTATCATCTCTAGGTCTGGCATCGTCAAACATGTTGTCACAGCTTGATGTAGTTGTTCGCATACCATGATGTAGTCCATGCGGTGTCCGTGTCCGTGGGCATCTTTCCATGTGCGGTGATCTTTGCCGTCCGATCTATGGGTGTTGTCAATGAGCATGTGTGCAGGCGCTGCCAGTTCGTGTAGCCGCTGCCCAGTTTCATCTTGTTGCTGTTGTAGTCCTGCGGATGCAACCCATTGTGACGTCGTAGATCCCACTCGCCCGTTCCCGCTGATGAAGATTATGGACGGGTTGGGCTTCGATGCTTGCTTGGCTAGGTACTCCCAGCAGTCGTTTCGTTATTTGTTTTTTTTTCTTTTTGTTCGAAGCACGTGCAACACATACGATGTGGTCGAAGGGCCTTCGCTTGGATCCGCTCAATGCAATGAGTAGTCGCGGCCTGGCTGCGATGACGTGGCAATCCGATGGTTGAAATACTAATGGCCCCGTTTGTGTTATAGCATATGGTAGCGTAAGGTTGGCCCACAATTCGCACCCGCAGGTGAAATTGTGGTGCGGGCTGTGGATCATGTGGTACCCGTTGCTGGTAGCCACTCGTCGCTCGTTCCTTCCTTCCTGGATCCCAATCAGGTGTACTCCGCGATGTCGTAGCTGACGTCGCATGATCGGCCCCCACCACTCATTGGTCAGTCTTCCTGCTTTGGTCATATTTCTCTTGACTGTCGGCTCCGCTCTCTGGCGCTTTCGACGTTGTAGGTCATGATGGTGATATTGATCTCCGCTGAGGTGTTAGTAGTCCCCGTCGGCGCTATCATGTGCTCGGGCGTGGCGTCGCGCTGCGTGTTCTCGAAGATGCGGTTTCTGTCTTGCTTAGCCGGGTATGCGTGTCTACCTCGGTTACTATTGTCCAATACATTTCCCATTGGTAATACACAGCCGTGACAAAATATTATGCGGTTCTGTAAGATATGGGAATCTCCTGTCCCTCTGGAGACTCCTGACATGGCCTCGCGGCATCCGCGGTCCCGCTGAGAAAATTGTCTCCCTCTGGTTAATAACTCTGTTATCTCAAAACAGGATCGGAAATTGCACCGCCCAGTCCGGTATTTAAAAATTTGACGGGGCGCGCGTCCGCGCGAAGTGATTTTTACCCCGCCCACTTCGCCTACTCCGCCGGTCGTGGACCACGCTGAACGAAGACCGCATCGTAATTTTGTCACGGCAATGGGGGGAAATGCGTTTCCGTGTGTTTTTTTGTTGTTTTACGGCTGCATCCGCCGTCGGGCTCCGACGACGGATGCTCGCGCCGACGGGGGCGATGGTGCTCGTCGTCGTCAAGCGCCGTCTCGATTGGGGGCGCCATTCGCCATCATCGCATGCTGCCGCCGCTGCCAGTATCATTGCCATTACCGTCGGCAACATGATTGTTTGGGGTGGGATTCTCCCGTGCGCGCTGCGCGATGCTCGTGCCCCAGCCCCCCCGCCCTGCCTCGGCTCCGCCAGAGAGCGAGCTGCTCGCGCACCAGCCCCCCCGCCCTGCCTCGGCCCCGCCCGAGAGCGAACGACCAACGACGAACGACCACACGCGAGCGACAGACGAATGACGTCAGACGACGGCGACGACCAACGACGCGCGGCACCATCGCAGTTTGGGCCCAAAAAGGTGGCCACGGCCGCGACGCTCGCTGACTCGACGGGATGCCGGTCTCCGCGCTTGCCTCCGCCGCCCGCGCCTTCGTCAGCGCCCTCCTGGCGCTGGCGCGGGCCTACGGGCTGAAGGCGGGAGCTAACAGGGATTCCGAGCCCGAGGACCTCCTGAAGGCGCACCGCAGGCTGCTCCTCAATACCCACCCTGACAAGGGCGGTAAGAAGGGGAACTTGCAGAAGCTGCAGGCGGCGAAGGAGAAGTGGGAGAAGGCGCGGAAGGCGGGCGCGGCCGCGGGCCGCCCGCGGCCTGCGGGCGAGACGACCCTGGTGACCCCGGCGCAGGCGCGCCGCAAGCGCAAGGAGTTCCGCGTGCAAGCGCTCGTCGTGCTCCTCGCCTACCACAGCATCACTGGCATGGCCCAGTGGCGCGGGTTCGTGACCTCCGTCAAACTCGCCCTCAAGAAGTGGGGCGTGCGCAAGTGGGGCGCCGCGCTCGAGGCGCGCGAGACTGGCCGCCTGCGCGCCCGCCTCGCCCTTGAGTTCTCTGAGACGGTGGACAGGGCGGCCCGCAGCTTCGCCTTCGAGGGCCCGGCGCCCCACGTGAGCCCCAGGGACTACCTTGGCGAGGGCGTGGGCGAGAGGCGCCTCGCCCGTCGAGATGTCTTGGTCGCGGCTACGCAGGAAGCTCAGGTAGATGGACTTGAAGACCAAGAAGGCCCAGACGGCGGCCAAGAACGTCGCAAGGCGATTCCGCGACCCCTGCAAGCAGGTAGTGGACCGCGCCGGGGCTGCGGCCGACAATTGACTTGTTGCTCTAAGGGCCCTGCGGCACGACGTGCGCCGCCATTGCCTGGACCTGCTGAACCGAGACTGCCGCGCCGAGAAAAGTCTGGAGATTTCCTGAAGAGACGGCGGCCGAAGTGCACGCAGCCGTGACAGAAGATTATGCGGTTTTGTAAGATATTGGAATCTCCTATCCCTTTGAAGACTCCCAACATGGCCTCGCGGCATCCGCGGCCCCGCGGAGCAATTCGTCTCCCTCTCAAAACAGGATCGGAAACTGCTCCGCCCAAACAGGGATGCATGTCCGCACGGAGTAATTTTCACTCCGCCCACTCCGCCTACTCCGCCGGTCGTGGGCCACGCTGAACGAAGACCGCATCATACTGTTGTCGTGGCAATGTATTAGCTGGTAGTGATAGCGAGTTGTGAGCTCCGCGGGATGTTGTTGGTAGGCTCGGTCTTCCCGTGCGTCTTCCGCTCGCGCTTTGATAAACAATCAGCTAGTTCGTTCCAAGGCATCCCTTCGTGGCTTGGCACGTGGTGAAGGTCGATGCTGGCGATGGTGCTGGCGCAAGCGAATACAAGCTTGGGGTGCATGGCGAGGTCGTGGTCTGCGGTCGAGGTTGCCGTGCCGTGGCATATGTCGATGACCGTCTTGCAGTATGTAAAGAAATTGGCGTGCTGTGATTCGTTGGCCGCAATGATCCAGATGAGTGTCTGTATTACTGCCACGATCTCGCATGTGGTGTTGGTGCATGCGCTGCTGTTGAGGTCCATGCTGCGGCTGCTGCTGACGATGCCGTCGTAAGCGCCCCTGGATGCACGTTCTTCGGACATAGTGGCTTCCTGCAGAAGTGTGAAAGCCCAGGAACAGCAGTCTTTTTTGTTTTAAAAAATATATTGTAGGACGCTCCCGTGCAGATATTATTCGTCTTTTGGCTCTTGTTGCCATTGGGGGGTCGAGTCGAGGGCGTACCGCGCTGCGGGGTGCAGGTCGTCGCCGTAGACGTTATGGCATTGGGTCGGTGCTGGCGTTGATTGCATCAGTGCCTTCTAGCTGCTGGCGTGGCCGAGGTCGCACTTGGTGTCAAACTGTCGGTGGTTGATGCTGTATTGGCGTAGTAGTTGTTGTCGGGATCCTTCATGTTTGCGTTGCTACACGGTAAGTTCCAAGTTGTTTCGGTTGGCCCTTATTTGTTTTACCTCTGAATGGTTGCATGGCTCTGGTTGTGCACGTGGTCGAGCTGCTTGCGTTGTCGTGTGGCTTTGCTCGTCGATGTCTTCGCGGCTGTCGGAATGGTAACATTGCGGTTCGCATGTCTTGCGCTGGCTTGTCGTGGTGGTCAGCTCTTTGTCGTGCTACTACACCGGTGCCCTGGGATGCTGTCAGGGCTGCCGTCTTATCGTTTGCGGTTTGTAAAGCGTGATGTAGGTTGTTGGTAGGTTGTGTAACTGCTTGTTGCGCGTGCTGGTTGTCGGCTGTTGGGTCATGTGAACTCCTCCTTCATTGTTGGGATAGTGGGTGTGTCGGTTGCTGGGTCGGCGTGCTTATCGTGGGGTCGGTGTGGAGTCGGCCTGCTGCTGGTCGTGGAGTGATGGCGGTGGGCGCACTTGTTTGGCCCCCATGCACCGACTTCAAGTGGGGTTCGTGCCTGTCCCACCTCGTTCCGCTATGGCTTATGACCAGGGGACGCTGTGCCCTCGGCGGGGGCGAACCCCAGGCCTAGTGCTTGCTTCTGCTCTCGGTGGGGTATGTCACGTCTGTCCTAGTGCACCGCCTCTTGGGCGTTCGGGCGAGCTCCACCTCTGCCGCGGGGATGGCGGGGGTGGCGAGCTAGGGCGGGCCGCGGGGGCGCGGGCAGTGGCCGTCCTACCCCCCCCCTGCCCCCCTGCCCCTTAACCTCCCCCCTGGCAGGCGCGGGCAGCACTCGTCCTGCCTCTCCGCCCTTCGAGCCCGTCTCGAAGTTTGATCCGTGCCTCTCCAGGACCGCGTTGACGTGCGCGCGCCTTGGTTGGTTGTGGCTGTCGGGTGCGTCGTCGTTGTCGTCGTCAGCGTCGGTCATCGCGTCGGCAAGACGACTGAATCGGTTGCGCAAGGGCATGTGTGATGGACGTTGTGGCTGTATCTGAAGTCGTCGTTGACTCCGCCGTACAGGTCGTTGTTTACACTGCGTGTGTCGTGGGCTTGCTCCGTCGAGTCGGGCCTCGATCTTCGCGTCGTGGTCGCACTCCTCGTCGTCGCTGTCGTTGCAGTCTCCAGTCGGCGTGCAGGTCATTGAAGAAAGTCTCCTCGATGCTCTCGAGTTCGCCCCAATGAACAGCATGTTGTAGCATTCGCGTTGGTAAATTCAAAAAATGTAGCGTCTCTGGGCCGAAACGGCTAGTCGCCTGTTGTCTGCTGCGTGCAAAAGGTCGGGTCGCGGTGGACTGTGCGCCACTGGTCTCGCTGGCCCCCGCCTCGGCGGTGTTGTGCTTACGAAGCGTGCAGTCTTGAATAGTGGCGCTGCCGTGCTGGTCTCGGGGATTGCCCGAGATCCAGCTTCGTTTATTTGGCTGTCGTGGGGTCGGCTCGACTAGAGGCCCCCGTCCTCGGAGTCGCATGGCCTGGCCCGTGGTCGAGGTGGCCGTGCAAGTAGATGCCCCACTGCTCTTGGCTCTTCCTCTTCTCAGGAGTCGGATGTTGTTCCGCTGTCTTTTTTTCATGCCTGTGCTGTTTTGTTTCGCGCGTGTGCTCGCGGTGGGTCGAGTTGGATGCGTCGACGTCGGGGGGGCCGAGGTGGGCCGCCCCCAGGGATGCACCTCAATGTCGTCCCGAATGCTATTTCCCCCTTAGTGGAGATGGTGGCGGGGCCGTCGGGCTGTCTGCTGTCGCCGCGCGGGGCGATCGGCATCGGTCCTCAGGCTTGATGCTAGTGTCGAGATTGCTCGCAGGCGTGTTCCCTGTGGTCTTTTGGATATGCCCGCGGGCTCTCCTTGCTGCCATGGCGGTCGGACTCCCCGTCTGGGTCAGCCGCCCCCCCCCCCCCCCTCGGGTTCAGTCCTGCTCAGTTGTTTGGCGACGTTGGGTCGTCAGACCCATCGTGGTTGTCGATTGGCATCGGCAGTCGGTCTGTTGAGTAAGTGAATCCATCTCCTGCGCCGTGCACGCGCACCTTGCGCGTTGGTCGTTCGCGCGAGCTGCTGCTTCTGAGAGCTGACTTGGCTCTTGTCGGCGGAGATGACTGTGCTTTGTCGGGCGTTCCGAGGTGAATGCGCGGTGGAGGCTCGATAGGCTGCAAGGGAATTGTCGGCGTGATGCTGTCGATGGTCATCCGTCGCGGTGCATGGTCGTAGTGGGTCGTCGCCTCGGTTGGATGTCGCATTCGTTGGTCTCGAGTGGTGCTGATAGTGCCCGTGCTGGCGGGGAAATGGATTTCTTCGAATCGAAGTCTGGGGTTCGTTGTTCGGCAGGTGGCGTCGGACTAACTGGTGGCGCCGGGGTCGGCATTGCATCCGCGTTGTCTATGTTGTCTCGGAGGTCGTCGTCGTGGTCGAGGTTTGGCATGGGCGTCTTCCGACTGTCATTCGTTCGTGGCGTGTCGAGACTGATAAGTGCTTCTTCTGGGCGCACTGTTGGCGGTGGGGTACAACAAGCTGATGTTGGGCCGGTTAGCGGTGGAGTGGCGGCGCTTGTTCTGCTGGTGGTCGCGGTGCGAAGCCAAGCTGAGTGAGGCTGAAGTCGCTGTCTGGCGCGCTGCTCGTTGCACCTGCGTTCTTGCTCTCGCTGTCGGCGTTGCTTTTCAATTCCTCCCTGCGCGGGCTGAAGTCGGAGCGTGGCTGGGTGAACTCGCGCGGCAGGATGGAAAGCAGCGCGCTCTCCATCTCCTCGTCGACTCTCCGCTTCTCGATGTTTGCCAGATATTTTCGTTGCGTTTCCTCTTCTATGTCCCTGCCAATCTCGAGCTCCATTTCGCCGATGATCTTCGCTTCCATTTCCTCGTTCTTCATCAGCTCCTTCTTTAGCGCCTGTGCGAGAGCTCGGCTTCGGTAATCATGTTGCGCACTTTCCTCCGCGATGGTAGCCTGTTGTTTACGTTGTTCTTCGTGAAATCGCAGCCTGAGCTCGCGCGCTTGAAGTTGCTGCCGTCGTTCTTACAATAGTGTTTCTACCTGTGTGCGTTGGTGGCAGACCTTGCGCTGCTCTCCGCGCCCGTCGTGGTTTCGCTTCGCAGCGTGCACGTCGTTGTGGACGTATTGCTGCGGCTGATGTAATATCACCTGCACAGTAGTCTGCCCGTTTCTTAGCCACTCTTGTGATTTTCATTGTGCTCGCTCATTCTCCTGTTGCAATGCGCGTTCATATTCTGACATATTGTGGATTGACTCCCACGTCGCGGTCGGGGCGTCCTGCGCGTTGATCTTCTCGCGGTTGAGACGGTCTTCTGCTTGGGCTATCTCTCGACGTCGTTGTTGTAGTTCATGTCGCAACTGCTCGTGCTGCCGATATAAGGGCTCGTTGGATCTGAAGCTGCCCTCCACGTCTTCTTGTATATCATTTTCCTTCAGGTCGCGCTCTCTGGCGATGTTGGACTGCATCTCCCCGAAGTGGATGAGCGCCTCCCCCTGCAGCTTCGCCTCGTGGTGCTCTTGTTCCCCCCATGTATAGTTCGCGTTGTTTCTCGAGCTTCCCCGCGTGCTCATTCTGTAACTTCCAGGCCATGTCCGCGAGCTCCCTTTCGCGTTGTCTCTGATCCATGAAATGTTGCTCGGTGCTTTGCTCTTCTTCGTTCTGGTTGCGCCTGGCCTCCGCGGCAGCAGCTTTCGCTTTCTCGATTTCGCGTCTTGCTTTTGCGTGCTGCTTCGTGCTCTGCCGTTTGAAGTACCCCTCCTGTCTCTTCAGGGCCTTCGTCGCGCTGTCGAGAGACTTCGCGACCATCTCCGTCTTCAGCTCCCTGTACTCGTGTTTCATGGTCTGGATCTCTGCATTATCCTTCTGCCTGCGCTGCTCGCCCTGACGGATGTTGGCGCTGCGCTCGCTGTGGAAGGAATAGTGGTGGCGCCGGTGCTGGACGTGCTCTTCTTGTTGCAAGTCCAGAGGCTCGTTGGGTTCCACGATCATCTTGGTCACGTTTTGTCCATCGACAGCTTGGGGGCGGTGTGTTTTCTGTCCTTGCCGTCGCGGGCGTGGTGTCTTCTCTCGCGTCTTCTTGTCGCCCCTGCTTTCGTCTGGTGCATCTTCCCCATCTCCTTCGCAGCTTGAGCTTTCAGCTCCTGCTTCGAATCGTTCGTGGATACCTCACTGACCTTCTGCCTCCGTGATTAGAGCCTTGATCTTGACTGCATCAGCGTTGGACTTTTCCAGTTGCTCGTTCCATGATTTGACTTTCTCTGCGATTGCTCTCCTCTTTGTGTTGGCCACGTCCAGGTCCTATCTGTAGATCTTGATCATCTCATTCGTTTCGATAGTGAGGTTGGTCATGCATTTTGAAATTTCCAATTCATCGATGAGTCGTCCTGCGTCCACTCCTGCTTGACGAACTCCAGCGAGCTGATCAGCAAGCCGTCCGAGTCGCGCCGCCATTTTTTCTACATGCGGCGGATCTCAATCTCATGATGTGGGTAGGAGAAGGCCTCGTGATTGACCGCCCTCACCTCACTGCTCGGGATGAACTCGTCGATGATGTCCTGCTGCTTCTTTGCGTAGACGAAACCCTGCATCTGAATCGCCTGTGTAGTATCTGGCTGGCTACCTCTGCTGGGGTCATAGCGTCTTCTGGATGCAGACCTGGTATTTTTTCTTCCGGTTGTAGTTATTCTGGTAATTGTTGTACGGGTTCTGGCTATTGGTTGTTGTGCTGGTCATGCCATTGTGAAGCCCTCGCCAATGACCTTCCTTGCGATGGCCTTCTCCATGGCCATGGCTGAACTCCGACTGGCGGTCCCACTGTCATCGTGCTGTCAGTCTGGCCGTTGACGGTGCCAGTCCAGCGTCCCTGCTGAGCCATCTCGTCCTGCTGGTAGCGCTGGAGCTGCTGGTTTCGCTGGTGTTGCTGGTTGCGCTGGTGCTGCTGCGCCGAGTGGTGGTTCGCCAGCGTCTCTTTGGCCTCGAATAGCCTCAGTAGCAACCGAGCGTTGCCGCGCTTGTCCCGCTCTCGCCGATGTGCAGCTCCCTCTGGAGCTTCGCCTCGGCCCTGTCGCGGCGTCCCGCCGCGGGGGTGGCCGCTGCGCGGCCGCTGGCGCCGCTGTCTGCGACAGGGAGCAGGGAGGCACGGATGGCCCCCTGCCGCAGATGATGGCGCGCGGCACGCGTGAACCCAGCCTCGCGGGCTGGCCGATGCGCGATGCGCCCTGCCAGCGCGATCGATCGGGCGGCAGGCGCGACCGACCCCGATGGATCGATCGGGATCGGCGGGCCCGCCAGAGGCCAAATGGGTTTCCTCCTCCTCCTCCTCGTCCTCCTCCACCTCCTCCTCCACCTCCTCCTGCACCTCTTCCTTGTCATCCTCTTCCTTGTCATCCTTCCTCCTCCTCCTCCTCCTATTTCATCCTCCTCCTCATCATCATCATGATCATCATCCGTCTCCTCCTCCTTCTCCTCCTCATCCCTCACCGCCTCTTCCTCCTCCTTTTCCTCCTTTTCCTGCTCGTCCTACCCCTTTTCCTTTCCTCCTCTTCCTTTTCCTCCTCCTCTTTTTCATCCTCCTCCTTTTCCTCCTCCTCCTCCCCCTCCCCTCCCCCTCCTCCCCCTCCCCCTCCCCCTCCTCCTCCCCCTCCCCCTCCTCCTCCTCCTCCTCCTCCTCCTCCTCCTCCTCCTCATCATCATCATCATCATCATCATCATCATCCCTCACCTGCCCGCACTTCACTCGAGCGAAGGAGCCCTTTGGGGGGCAGGGCAGTCCACGAAGCAGGCCAGCGTGGACACGGCCGAGCCGCGGCCGCGGCCGCGGCCCTGGGAACGCAAAGAGTCACGCCGACAACTGCGTCACCTCGGGGCGCTCTCGCGGCGGAGGCTTGCGCGCCGAGGGCGCGGCAGTGCGCAGAGGTGTCCGCGGCAACGCGCCGGTGCCCTCGGCTCGCAGGGGGGGAGGGTCACGGCACCGCTGCCCTTGCCTCGTTCTCGCCCTTTTCGGCCTCCGGGGAAGCCCTCGCCGCCACCGCCGGATGCGCCTCGGAATCGTCGCCAGAACGCACGTTGTTCCCATCGTGCTTAGGACAGCATCTCACAAACAATCTCGAGCACCCAGAAAAGTATCGAAACAGGGTCTGTCCGACACGCCAGCGACGTCTCGAGCGAATATCGTCTCCAGGGCTGGACGCGGGAGAACCATCCAGCTTCGGTATCTCTTTGGTGCTCGAAGTGATTTTTGGTGATCAAGGCCAAAATAGCTTGGAACATCACAACCCTGGAGATGCCCGAAGGACTGTGGCGGCGCACGGATCCACTCTACGCGTCCACCATCGGAGCGCGCAGGGCTGGCCTCAAGGTGGGTGAGAATCGCGCCGTGCGTGTCGGGGGGGGGGCGCCCAGGCCCAGTCCAGGCAGAAAGATGTCACTGGGGCTCGAGCGCATCCCTGTCCCTATACAGGTTGACAGGCCGAAGGGCGACGAGAGTCTCAGGGATGCGCTCGGATGGACTTCTGCAGGTCGGCGTCGAGATCCGGCGTTGACAGCCCCAGGGGTGGTGATGTGCGTCTGGCAGGAAGCGAAGGGCCCGCCATCTCGTGGGGCTCCAGGATCCCAATGGCGAATGCACGCGCCGAGGACGCGGCGATCGCAGGTGCGCCGCTGGTGCCAGAGCGGCGAGACACCCTGGGGCTGGTGACAGCCCACGGGGTCTGGTGGTGCGGGCACGGGAGGCACTAACCCATTGGAAGATGGTCTCGGGGTCCGCGATGGAGCTGCCGAGGGACCCGTGGCGGAAGCACGCGTCGAAAACGCAACCCTGCGCGGGTGTTCTCAGCGCCGGAACGGAAGGACCTCTCTCGAGCAGAAGAAGGACAATCTCCTTCCAACAGGGAACTATTGGGTTTTGTTGGCTGACGAGGCCAAGATGAAGGGCACTAAGACGAAACCGTGTGACTCACCCCGATCACTGGTCACAACCAACTAGACACAACCTGGACCGTGTGTGTCACGAGGTCGGTGCGCCACTCATTGCGGGAGGATGAGGACGACGCGCCACGCCCCCCCCCCCTCTCGCACCTCCCCCCTGTCCCCGTCCCCCCCCCGGTCCTCTCCCCAAACCTCCGATGTGCCGCCATTGTTTGCGCAACCTGGATCCTCTGAGTTTTGCACCAGTTCCCTGGGACATGCGCTTCATACAGAGTCGGTTGCTTCACGGCCCAGTGATGGCCCCTGGAAACAGCGAAAACCAGGAAAAGCTGTTCAAACTTCAAGCTTTTGTCGCTGCGGTGACGAGCGCGCGCCGCGTCCGTAGCCTCAAGGGTGGTTGCTAGGCGACGTGTGCACAAACAGCCGGGAAGACGAAGAGGGCGGCCACGGGAACAACAAAACTAGGGCCCGCCAAGGGGGGGGGTCCGAGCACATGGGGTCGGAGGATCGCACCGCATCGATAATGCATCGGCGATGCATCGGCGACGCATCGGCGACGTAGGCGATGCATCGCCACAGCCGGCGTGGAGAAATCGGGCTCCGCATCGAGCTGCACCGCCGATGCATGGGCGATGCGGCGCGAATCTCCGACTACCTCTGCTCGGACCCCACGTGGGTGGCCTGGAGGCATTTTTTTAGCATCGGCAGCGCCACCACGCGCGGGCGCGAAGGTCGAGACTGGCCTGGCGCGCCGGGCGCGCGGAGCTAGTGGAGAGCGGCCGCGGAGGAGGGAGGAGGGGGCCCGCCAATCGAGAATCGACGGGCGAGGGACGCCCAGGGGCGGCCTCAGGCATCGAGGACGGTGTGCACCAAGCAGAGGAGCAGCGTGAGGAACGCCTGGCACCACAGGGAAAAGCATTCCGTCGCGACCCCAGACCACCGAAGTCGTGATCCGTCTGTCACGAAGCGTCGACCCCCAGAGGTCTGGACCCCTTCCCGGGGACATTTTTTTTTCATCCCGAGTCGAGTTTTGACTGTTCCGAGGCCCGAGGAGGGCCCCCAGAGGCTGAAAATAGCGAAAGGACTCCCGTCGTCTTTTTTGCACAGCGCGAGGAGGCCTGAGACTTTGCCCTCGACGCGAGGATGGCCCGGGCCTCGCCCGCACGGGCGGCGGCCGCCGCGCCCGTCGGCCGTCTTTTTCGGCGGCCCCCCCAGGCGCGCCCCGAGGGGGGCCGGGTGGCGCCTCGGACAAGCGGCGCAGGCGCCCATGGGCGGCGCGTGGATCATGGCCAGATAGTTCGTGGAAGAGGCGGCGAGCCTGCGGCGGAGGGGGCGGTCGGGGACGACAGGCAGAGGGCCGGGGTTGCTGGAGGTGCCCCCGGCCCAAGGTGCCCCCAGGACTCTTCGGGTGGCCCAGACGACCTCCAGAGCACCCCTCGTGAGGCCCCGAGGGCCACAGGATCCCAAAGTGGAGCGAACCGCTGGGGGCACCTTGGGCCAGGGGCACCTCTAGCAACAAGCGAAGAGGGAGGGATGTGTAGCACCCCGCAGTGGCGGATAAGACTGGGGCGGTCGGGGCGGCAGGCAGAGGGACGGATGTGTGGAGTCGGATCTCGACCACAGGGAACCTTCCACAAGAGACCCAGCCCTGAGACCCCAGGAGGTCCACTGATTTTTGGTGCGGGAGCGTCACACGCTTTCCACAGCAGGAACTCCCAAAGCCCAAGAAACCCAGGGCACCCTGGAGGCGAGCAGGGTGTTTCTTGGCATGGGTTTCCACTGTAGCACCCCGCAGTTGCGGATAAGACTGGGGGGGGGGGGGGGCGGGCGCGGGGTGGGTCGCGGGTGGGCCGCGGGGTGGGTCGCGGGATGGGCCGCGGGTGGATCGCGGATGGGTCGCGGGGTGGGTCGCGAGGCGGGTCGCGGGTGGGACGACGACAGCTAGCAAGCCCAACAACACCAACAACAAGCATGTCAAGACTGTTCGCTTTTATTTGCCAGTGTGTCACTCAACATGTGTATCCCGAGCCCGCGATACTCGCCGTCTTAGTCTTCGATCGTAACCCTCATGAGTTTGTTACATTTCCTACCTGCCACGTGTAGTTGACGCAGCCCCTAATATAGGGGAAGGGGTGGAGGGAGGGAGGGATGGAGGGAAGGAGGGAGGGAGGGAAGGGACAAGGGGGATGGAAAAAGATGGAGGACGAGAGAGAGAGAGAGAGAATCAGGAAGGGAATTCGGAGCAGGAAAGCAAGCGGCAGAACCAAACGGGCGGGTCGGGCGGGCGGGCCCTAACGGGCGGGTCGGGCGGGCAGACCTGGACGGCCGAGTCGAGCGTGCGGGTCGCTTCAGCATCAGTCCTGCATGGGTCGCAGGGAAGTCTCGAGCGACAGAGCGATACCCAGGAAAACTTCGAGGAAGTTCAAAGCGAGAGCGTGTTTCCTGAGTGTCGAGGGCGCAGCGTTGTGATACAGCGGGAGGGAATACAGCGCGAGAGCGCGATTCCTTTATATACTATACACTGTAAGCATGTCCCAGCGAGAGCCAGATTCTGAATACACTGTGGGGACGTATCAGATGGGGGCCGTTATGTGTGCGAGCCCTGGGATGAGCATTGACATTGAAAAAGCGCAAGAAGCGAAAGGTAAACCGGAGGGGGATCAACTATACATCTTCTTCAGAAGTGAATATACGTCAACTACAGCAAGAACAGCAGTAGCAGCAGCAGCAACAGCAACAGCAACAGCCACAACAACAGCAACAACGAAACCGACAACAACATCAACAACAGCAGCAGCAATCACAACAACAGCAGCATCAACCACCACCACAACACCGACACCAACAGCAACAGCACCAACAGCAACAACAGCAACAACAACAATGACAGCAACAACGACAACCATGACAATACAGTGCGCTCTTACCTGCTCGCGTGCCCCTCAACAAGTAGATCCCAAACCCACGATACCCGCCATCTTCGTCTTCGATCGTACCTCACTCCGGGGGTATATTTTCCCCTGCCTGCCGCGTGTGATTGACGCAGTCACGAATAGAAGGAAAGGAAGGGAGGCGGGACGAGGTGGAGGGACCGTACATGGACAATAATTTCGAACCGTTACACATTCGAGGGAGATTCTAAATCACCCCCGCGCCCCCGACATCAATGTTGATCTCAGGAAAGGCGGTGTCTGGGGTTCGAATATTCCCGTCCACTCACGCTCCCCCCCGTCGCCACGCCATCGATCTTGATTTCGGGGGGTCTGGGGGGCAGCTTGGGCCACAGGGTTCGAATATAATGTCCATGTGCTGGAGGACGACTTGGAGGAGGATGAGGACGAGGAGGAGGAGGAGGAGGAGGAGGAGGAGGAGGAGTGAGCAGGAGGAGGAGGAGGAGGAGGTGGAGGAGGAGGAGGAGGAGGAGGAGGAGGAGACGGGGGAGGAGGAGGAGCACGAGCGAGACCAGCAGGAGGGTCGGGGGCAGGAAGGCAGGCGGCAAATCCAGACGGGCGTACAGGGCAGAGAGGCCGGCCCTCGGAAGGGCGGGCTGGGCGGGCGGGCCCGGGCGGCTGGGTCGAGCGGGCGGGTCGCAGGAGAGTCCGTACTGCGTTGGTCGAAGGCGTCAAGCGACAGAGCGATTCGCAACTTGTGGTGGATCCGCAGCGAGAGCGTGAATTCTGAGTCTCGACACTTTCACTTCTTCATGTTCAGCAGGCATTTCGCATCGTCTGAACAAGATCTGAGATGCATCCAGAGCAAGAACAATCATGTTCGGACTGTTCGCTCTCATCCGCTCGCGCAGCATTCCATACGTGCATGTCCAACCCTCGATACCCGCCCTCTTCGTCTTCAATCGTACCCCCTTTGGGACAGCATCTTCTTTACCTGCCGCGTGTGATTGACGCAGCCGCTAACATCAGGAACGGACGGGAGGAGGGAAGAGACAAGGGGGAGGAAAAAGGATGGAGCTCGAGATAGTTTTGCAGGAGGAGGGTTAATTAGGAGCAGGAGCACGAACGGCAGGACCAGACGAGAAGGTCGGTCGAGCGGGCGGTTCGCTGAGGCGTCAATCCAGCATGAGTCGCAAGGACGCTTCGAGCGATATCGCGATTCCGTAATAAATCGTAAAGAAATCCAACAAGGGGCACGACGCCGGAATGAATTGCGAGGAAGTGCCGCGGGAGAGGGGGATTTTTCAAACATTATGAAAAAGCCCGCGCGACAGCACGATTTTGAAAAAAATGTGGAAACATATCAGACGGGAGACGTTGTTGAACTTTCTTTCTTGAAGAATTAATAGTATTGATCCCCCGTCACAGGTACATATTGTGTTTTTTCAATTTAAGTGCTCCCTATCTGGGCTCGCACCCTGTTCATATCAGGGACAATCCTCCTGCTCAAACTGCGCTGTAGGGCCCCAGACTAAAACAACAACAACGGCTCCCGCCAAATACTTCCTCACAAATTATTCCGAGATCGCGCTCTCGCGCGGGACCTCCTCACAAGATGTACAGGAATCGCGCTCTCGCGTGCGACTTCCTCGCAATTTCTTCAAACGCCGCGCCAGCGACACTCAGGAATTACGCTCGCGCTGTGGTTTTTCTAATGATTTACTTGGGGATCGCGCGATCGCTTGAGACATCCTGGCGGTTCATGCAAGACTCACGCTTCAACAACCGGGCTGCTCGATCGGGTCGCCCGGGCCCGCCTTCCCGACCCGCCCGCTGGGGTCTGCCCGCCCGATCTGCCCGTCTGGTTATGCCACGCGCTTTCGGCTCCCATCGTCACCTCCTGCCACTTTCTCTCGTGCTCAATCCTTCTTACCGCGCCCTGGTCCCAATGCGTTGGAATGTGTTGGAATGTGTTGGAATTGCCCAGCCCCCTGGTCAAAGTGGCGTTGCGGTGCAATTCCAACGCATTCCAACGCGACTCCATTGAAATTCCAACGTGCAATCGTCTCTCATCGTCCTCCCCCCTTCCATCCGTCCTCCCGTGCCCTGTTTCAGGGGCTGCGCTGCATGCACGTGGCTGGCGAGGGAGATGCGCCACCCAGGGGGGCGTACGATCGAAGACGAAAAAGGCGGGTACCGAGGGCTTGGGATATACGTGTTGACTGGCACGAGAGCAGATCGGAGCGAACAGTCTGAAAATGATTGCTGTTGTTGCTGTTGTAGATCGGGGGCGACAGCCCAATCTGAGCCGCAAGACTTCCCCTGGCACAGAAAAACACATGATACCACCCCGTTGCGGAGTGCTGTGGGCACCGGGGGGACCAACACTCATTACAATATTCTTGAAGCATGAACATTCAACAATAGTCACTTTGAGACTGTTCGCTCGCATCCGCTCGCGTGCCATTCCACACGTACATCCCCACCCCTCGGTACTCGCCCTCTTCGTCTTCGATCGTACGCCTCTTGGGGGCATTATCTTCCTTACCTGCCGCGTATGATTTGGCAAAGCCCCTTATATCGGAGAAGGGATGGAGGGAGAGAGGAGGGAAGGGACAAAGCGGGGATGAAAAAGGATGGAGGACGAGAGAGAGATCATCAGGAGAGGAATTCGGAGAAGGACAACAAGCGGCAGCAGTCCCTGAAAGAGAGAGGGGAAGGAGGAGGGAAGGAACAAGGGGGAGGAAGACGGATGCAGCGCGAGGAGGGGGGTGAGGACAGGAGCACAAACAGCAGAACCAGACGGGAAGGTCGGGCGCGCAAACCCTAACGGGCGAGTCTTGCGAGCGGGCCCAGACAGCCAGGTCGAAAGGGCGGGTCGCAGAAGAATCAGTCCTGCATAAAATGAAGACGTTTCGAGCGAAGCAACGGTTTCGAAGCAGATCTCGAGGAAGTCCCAAGCGAGAGCGTGACTCCTGAGTGTCCGGGGCGCGGCGTGAAGTCCCACGCGAGAACGCAATTCCTTGATCAATTGTGAAGATGTCCCGTGCGAGGGCGCGATGGTGAATCATTTCTGAAGAAGCAAGCATGAGGCGGGACCGTTGTTGTGGTAGTTCGGGGCCCAATAGCGTAATTTAAGACCCAATACTCCTCCTTGTGCAAAAAAAAAACAAGTGCGAGCCCTGAAAGGGGCACGTCAATTGAAAATACACATCGCTATACTTAGCTGTTCGTAGAACATGGAAATCAATCGCTAGTTCTTACCTGCTCGCATGCCAACCAACATGTACACCCCACGCCCTCGATCCCCCCCCCTTGCGTTCTCGATCGTACCCCCCTTGGGGGTATGCCTTCCTGACCTGCCATGTGTCGCTGACGCGGGGAAGGAGGGAAGGAACAAGGGGGACGGAGAAGGATGAAGCACGAG